GACCACATCCACTGCCTTCTCAACAGGAACGCACGTGAAGAGCGATGTAACATCAAAAGAGACCATAGTTTCATCCGCCTCCATCCGCCTCTCAGACAGAAGAAGTCTCTTGGAGGAGAGACGAAACGTTTCATTAGAGAAGAACCCGTCCAGAAGACCTATACAATTTTTTTTCTTTTTGATTTTTTACCTGGATTACTGAGATGCATCAGGACATTAATGTAGATAGTTAATCACACAGGAGCTTGGAAGAACTTTAAGGATTATTTATTTAAAAAATGAATGTCAATAAGTGAGTTGCTGCTCATTGATCAAACCATCCCATTCAACTGACATAGCTTGGGATCATTGATCTGTCATTCAGCTTTAAACCTGTCAAACACTGGATTCAAATATCCCTTAAGTTCTGAAAACCGAATGGAGTCTGAGGATCAAGTGGGTACCCAAACCCCTTCACCACATTAGGGTTCTACAGCAGCAGAGGGATCCCATACCAGGACTRAAACCCAGCTGAAGCACAATACTTGTTTTTGTTCCTGCAGGTCCAAACTGCTTTGCTGGGAGCAGGGTGATCCCAGCAGGGGAGCGTGTGAACATCGATGAGAGGACTGTATGCTACTGCACCTACAGGGATGGAACATGGCACACCCACCCCCAGGCCACCTGCGAACACCACCCCCAGTCCAGTCCAACCCTCAACACGCACACTGAGCCCCCCAGAGATGAGGACACCAGAGCGGGAAGAGGGAGACTGTTTCCCAGACTAGATTTGATACCTTAAGTTGGAAATTTTAAACCAGATGTTTACATTTATGGGATAAAAATACCCTGAACCATTTTTTTCTCACTATCTGATATTAAATCAGACTAAATCATTCTGATTTTGGGTTAGCTTGATCCCTAAAATTTATATTTTTAATGCCTGGAAAATTAGATAATTTATTTCCCTCTAGAATTCTTTATTTATTCTGTTATTGTTTATTAGTCTGTACACGTCTAGGAACTGAGGAGACCAGCKGCTGGAGTATTTGGAGGGATTGTTGTCTCGTTTGTGTCTGATGTAAGATTTTAGATGTTCAACAGTCTTTTTTGATTGGGTGGCTGTAGTTAGAGTTGTCCTCCAACAAGAAAGTCAGAGGTTTGATTCCATCAGTGTTCAGTCACATGTCAAAGTGTCCCTGCAAGACRCTGAGACCCTCACTGCCTGCGATGTGAGCCCCACCACTGTGTCTGATATCTAAAGCACCAATAAAACTCCATAATAAGACAATAAAAAGACAATTCTATGTCTTATTCAGATTAGCTGCAGAGATGCAATGTGTGTGGATGACTAAACGAGGGCACAGGTTGTGTTGTGAAGCACTTTAAGTAGCCCTGTTGACTACAAAGTTGCTGTATGTACAGTCATGTTTCACTTGATGGACTTTTCATCAAGTGAAACATGTTTTCAGTTGGTGGCCCAGCATACTCCATGGAACTGAACGGTCGAGTCCCCTCTTGATTGATGTTTGTCTTTTTACACCTTTCAGAGTCCCTGAAACAAATCTGCTCCTGCTGCTGCACACATCACAGTACAGGTTTCTTCACACTTGGAGACTCCACTTCAGTGCCAACCATTTGGCCACAAATCTGTTACGGATTGAGTGCAATATTTCTTTTTTTTTTTTGACAGACAGATTCCTCAGTGCACAATGTCCTGTATGTGCTCTCCCCRTCCTTGAGTTTTTCTTTATTTGACTACATTTACAAGCGTATGTAAGAGTCACATAAATGGACTTTCTTTCTGACTGACACAGAGAACTGCTTCTCAAAACTGTTATTTTGACTGGAGACAGACCAGTACAGTACCCCGAAGTCTACTACTACAAAGCCATGCTGTTGTAACACATGCAACTTGGTTTAGCATCATCTTGCTGAAATATGCAAGGTCTTCCCTGAAATAGATTTAATCTGGATAGGAGTGTTTGTTGTTCTAAATCCTGTGTATACTTTTATGAAGTGATGGTGAAATGTGTAAGCTAACAACGCCAGAGACACTAAGCAACTCCATACCATCAGAGAGGCAGGCATTTGAAATGTGCATTGAGTTACAACAGGTAATAAAAGAAAAGTAAAATCTCTTAGTTAAAACATTTCATATATTTACTGTTTCATTGTGAACAAAATATGGGTTCATGATATTGTGAAATCACTGAATTCTGCTTTTATGTACAATTTACACAACTTCCCAAATATATACTATATAC